CTCCTTTAAAAAGTGGAAAGTACCTGCCAACTTTAATTGTAAACAAAAAGGCAGTAAAGATAAATACAGGAATTAAAATGAGAATGCATAAAGAAATTGCCTTTCTAAGTTCCTAGAATGCGTTCATGAAGTAAGTTTCATCTAAACTTGCAAGTCATTCCCGCTACATTAATTTTTAGAAATTAATACTAACTCCTCTGTCTTTGCTGGGGATTAACGATGAGCAGGAAATCAACTCTTTTTAGTTTAGTGCTTAATTATTTACAGACACGCAATGCCTCTATACACCACCAAGTTACAAGCAAAGCATACAGTGCTTAGGTAGTGCTTAGTTATGACCCGTCATTTTATTTTTTTTTTGTTTTTGTGGTTTTTTTTTTGAGCCTCATTTTAAAAACGGAAAAAATAAGTGCAGCTTTGAACTTATTCTCCTGCTAACACACACTGGAAACTCAAGCCAACATATACTTTTAATGACACAGAATTCTATCATCTGATATTCCTTCAGCATTCATGTTTGTGAAAACTTGGATACACAGTTGGCTAATCAATAAAAAATTAATTTGCTAAATTGGAATAAGCTATAGTTTGCTTCCTGAACTTGTACTTTTCAACACATCAAAGAAGGAAGAATCCATTACATATTCTTGCTTCATAATAAACTACCTAGTAACTCCCAAACTCTCCCTTTTACTCTATATTGCATAGACATTTTCCAATATTTAATAATTTGATATTTAGCTTTAAATAGCTATATGAATTTGTACTTTTAAATTTCTCTGAAGTTAATCACTGCATATTCTTACATGTGGAAGCTTTAAAAAAGTTGATTTCATAGAGGTAAAAATCAGAACAGAGGATACCAGAGGCTGGGAAGTGTAGGGGGAAGGGTGGAATAGGGAGAGATTCCTTACAGGATACAAAATTACAGCTAGATAGGAGGAGCAAGCTCTAGTGTTCTATACCACTGTGGACTGACTGTAGTTATTAATAACAATAATAGAGCATATAGTTTCAAATACTTAGAAGAAGGATATTGAATGTTCCTAACACAAAGAAATGATAAATGTTTGAGATGATGGATATGCTAATTACCCTGATCACTATACATTATATGTATCAAAAAATCACTATGTACCTCATAAATATGTATAATTATTATATGTCAATTAAAATGAAACTTAAAAAGAATGAATTAGAGCTAGACAAGTTGTGTTGCTGTGTACTTCTATGAGGTTTTGTTAAATGAGAAAATTCAGATACAGAAAGGTATATTTAATATACCACTTAATAAGTAAACAATTATTCTACCCCCCCCAAATTTGTCCTATTTGTTTATGTCTGTTATGTCTATTTTTGGTATAAATTTATGAGCTACAGGTGTAATTTTGTTACATGAATATATTGTGTAATGGTGAAGCCAGGGCTTTTAGGGTATCCATCACTCAAATAAAATACATTGTACCCCTGAGTCTATTCTTAGTGTATGAATTCCTCCAGTATAGAAATCAATTCTTCTATTCATTTTGCAAGTCCATAGTATATAGTAATGACCAAATCATAAAAGTTCTAAGTGATTAGGGCACCAAATAACATCAACATGAATTTTTCCATATGTCCTCTCTCTTCCTATTTAAAAAAATAAACCTGCAAAAATTTGAAAGCAAGGGGTTTCAGTACAGTAATTGGAGCTAAAAAGAACATGTGTGTATTCTGTCATGTAAGAAGGATATAAAGGTGGATGGGGAAAGAATGAACTTGGAATGCTCGTGATATGTTAGAGACTGTAATTATATCATCACTCTTAGTTCTAAACAACATCCCAGCTCAGTGAGATTTGCTTGCTTTATTACAGAATGAAGAAACTTAGGCCCAAAGAGATTTATTTTCTTTCCCAGCATAGTAGGAAAATGGGAAGAGTAGTAAAAATAGAAGGAGCTATAGGGTTGAACCCAGATCTGTCTGATTCTAAAGCTTGTTTCTTTTCCTGTGTGGTTCATGCTATAGATGCAAACCCTGTTACCTGCTTTTCTACTATAATTTTCAGTTGAATGCTACTGAAGAACTTTATTAAAATGCTTTATTTCAGAATTTTACACATTTTAATTGTGCCTAATTGGTCTCCTTTGATGTTATTTTACTAGGTCTATTAATAGTTCAATAGGAATGCTATAATAAATCTAAGCCCAGCAATTACATATTTTTAAATAAGATTTAACATTATGCAGGTGTTTCACTCCCATATTTTAAAAAATAGTATTACATTTGAGAAGAATTCTAGAAGTACTTATGCTAAATTTATTGTTTATTTTACAAAAATACACAGATACCACTAATTTCAAGATAAAATTATTTAAAAATCTACTTTATACATTACCCTTGAGGAAATGCTTGGATTTTCAAAGACACTTGCCATAAATTACTTTGAAAAGTTATTGTCTAAATAGATAATACAGTTTTTTGAAAGATTTCATATTTTAATATCTAACATTATAAAAAATTAATTTGCTAAATTGGAATAAGCTATAGTTTGCTTCCTGAACTTGTACTTTTCAACACATCAAAGAAGGAAGAATCCATTACATATTCTTGCTTCATAATAAACTACCTAGTAACTCCCAAACTCTCCCTTTTACTCTATATTGCATAGACATTTTCCAATATTTACTAATTTGATATTTAGCTTTAAATAGCTATATGAATTTGTACTTTTAAATTTCTCTGAAGTTAATCACTGCATATTCTTACATGTGGAAGCTTTAAAAAAGTTGATTTCAAAGAGGTAAAAATCAGAACAGAGGATACCAGAGGCTGGGAAGTGTAGGGGGAAGGGTGGAATAGGGAGAGATTCCTTACAGGATACAAAATTACAGCTAGATAGGAGGAGTAAGCTCTAGTGTTCTATACCACTGTGGACTGACTGTAGTTATTAATAACAATAATATAGCACATAGTTTCAAATAGTTAGAAGAAGGATATTGAATGTTCCTAACACAAAGAAATGATAAATGTTTGCGATGATGGATATGCTAATTACCCTGATCACTATACATTATATGTATCAAAAAATCACTATGTACCCCATAAATATGTATAATTATTATATGTCAATTAAAATGAAACTTAAAAAGAATGAATTAGAGCTAGACAAGTTGTGTTGCAGGGTACTTCTATGAGGTTTTGTTAAATGAGAAAATTCAGATACAGAAAGGTGTATTTAATATACCACTTAATAAGTAACCAATTATTCTACCCCCCCAAAATTTGTCCTATTTGTTTATGTCTGTTATGTCTATTTTTGGTATAAATTTATGAGCTACAGGTGTAATTTTGTTACATGAATATATTGTGTAATGGTGAAGCCAGGGCTTTTAGGGTATCCATCACTCAAATAAAATACATTGTACCTCTGGGTCTATTCTTGGTGTATGAATTCCTTCAGTATAGAAATCAATTCTTCTATTCATTTTGCAAGTCCATAGTATATAGTAATGACCAAATCATAAAAGTTCTAAGTGATTAGGGCACCAAATAGCATCAACATGAATTTTTCCATATGTCCTCTCTCTTCCTATTTAAAAAAATAAACCTGAAAAATTTGAAAGCAAGGGGTTTCAGTACAGTAATTGGAGCTAAAAAGAACACGTGTGTATTCTGTCACATAAGAAGGATATAAAGCTGGATGGGGAAAGAATGAACTTGGAGTGCTCGTGATATGTTAGAGACTGTAATTATATCATCACTCTTAATTCTAAACAACATCCCAGCTCAGTGAGATTTGCTTGCTTTATTACAGATTGAGGAAACTGAGGCCCAAAGAGATTTATTTTCTTTCCCGGCATAGTAGGAAAATGGGAAGAGTAGTAAAAATAGAAGGAGCTATAGGGTTGAACCCAGATCTGTCTGATTCTAAAGCTTGTTTCTTTTCCTGTGTGGTTCATGCTATAGATGCAAACCCTGTTACCTGCTTTTCTACTATAACTTTCAGTTGAATGCTACTGAAGAACTTTATTAAAATGCTTTATTTCAGAATCTTACACATTTTAATTGTGCCTAATTGGTCTCCTTTGATGTTATTTTACTAGGTCTATTAATAGTTCAATAGGAATGCTGTAATAAATCTAAGCCCAGCAATTACATATTTTTAAATAAGATTTAACATTATGCAGGTGTTTCACTCCCATATTTTAAAAAATAGTATTACATTTGAGAAGAATTCTAGAAGTACTTATGCTAAATTTATTGTTTATTTTACAAAAATACACAGATACCACTAATTTCAAGATAAAATTATTTAAAAATCTACTTTATACATTACCCTTGAGGAAATGCTTGGATTTTCAAAGACACTTGCCATAAATTACTTTGAAAAGTTATTGTCTAAATAGATAATACAGTTTTTTGAAAGATTTCATATTTTAATATCTAACATTATTTCTAAGGAATATGTATTGACTGGACAAGAATTTGCTTCTCTTTTAAGATAACAAACAAATCTACACTTTTAAGAAATTGCAAAAAAAAAAAAAAGAAATTGCATTTAAAGCTTTTTGAGGGAGCAGAGAGTAACAAAAGCAGTCTCCACAAGGTCACTTCATATGAGGCATTTGTGAATTTGGTACCAGACTTGGTTTAATTCTTGATCAATTTATAGCATTTCATAAATTGTACAGTCCTATACAAATAGAATTTCAATATAATTACAATGACTTATATACAATACAATTACAATGACTAATTATAATGACTTAATTTTCAGTGTAACAAGTGATTCCCAACAAACTCAATGGACTTCTAAAGGAACATACAGCTACTACAAATGTTTTACATGATGCCGTCAGTTCTGGATTTTTCCATTTATCTTGAATTTATCCACAGAACATATTTAATGAGAAAAGCTGTATCATTTAAATACCATTTAGTAAAGGCTTCAAATGACTTGAGTCATATCTTTAGGTACACAGCAATTTTATTGTTCTATTTGTAAAAGGATTAGTTACCTGGTGCAATGTTGTCTGGATTTGGAGGGCTTCGTGGATCCGGGGTGTTTGGGGGAGTCGAGGGGGCTTGCTGGGAACCACCTTCCAAGTTGTTTCCCTCCAGTTTCCCATTCTGCATAGCAAGCTGTGCTGTTTTATCAAATAAATCTGCTTGGAATAAAATTTAGGCACACCTAATAGACTATAATGCAGACTCCATTTGTATATTTTATAATTATAATACAATCCTTTATTAATCATGGCTCAAACATCTTACATGGTAATGATGCTGAGAACTTAAATGAGAACTTTTATTGATATTAATTAAGTAGTTTATGATGAAATCACTAATGATATATAAAGCTGAAATTAATGAGGATTTACTGTGGTGCAGCACTGGTGTCAGTGGTTCACATCAATTATTTCACTTTCTATTCATAACATTCCTATGAGATAAATGTATTTAATTTTTATCTTTTACTAATCTAAAATGGAGTATATGGCCAAGGCATCTGTGTGTAATTTATATACCATCGTATATTTTATGTTGAGCCTTAGTTTGACTCTTTAATGTGTCAGAAGTTTTAAATTATATCGAATGCTGAACAGCAGTCATATATACCCACACCAAAAAAACCCTAAACCAAAAAACCATATGTACTTTAAGTTACATGTCTTGCAGAAGGAAGAATTTGTGACTTTAGAATAAAATGCTGGCAAGAGACATTTGTTTTACATTTTAGATAAGTTTTTGTTCTTATATATTAGATTGATTCCATGGTTAATAATGCAGCACCTTAAAAATGTTCATTGCTTTAAGAGGAAAAATAGACCTTATAGTAGGTTATGTCCTTAGATATGGCCAGGTTTATTGCTTATAATCAAACATGTTTAAATTACATAAAGGGATGGATAGTATATTTAAAAAGAGTACATAAGGTCAACGATATCTTATTAACTTCAGAAAGAAAATTAGTGAAGAACAAGCAATAGAACATTTGACTTTTCTGTGTACCATGCAAAATGGCTAATTCTTTTCTTTTTTTTTATTTTCTGAGACAGAGTCTCACTCCTGTTCCTGGCTAGATGCCATGGCACAACTAGCTCCAGCAACCCAATTCCTGGATCGCATCCTTCCTGCCTCACGCCTCCTAGTAGCTGGACTACAGACATGTGCCACCATGCAGCTATTTTTTCTTAGTAATATATTTTAGTTTGTCCAGCTATTCTCTTTCTTGTTTTTGTGGTCAGAGAATGGGGGGGGGTCTCATCTTGGCTCAGGCTGTACTCCGAACTCCTGACCTTGAGCGATCCTCCTGCCTTGCCTTCCAGAGTGTAATTTATAGGGTGGCCACCCTGCCAGACAGCTAATGTTTTATTTATTCTAATGTTTGTAAGATTTTTGTGGTGAAATATACCTTCTACATTTTAACACTTATTTAACTTATAGAAATTCATGGATAAGACTATTTTGTTCTAAAATGAATATTATAATTAAAGGCCATAAACTAAGAGCCTTGCCTGATAAAATCTGAAGGAAGTAAAGTTTGTTAATTTCATGCCTGCCAACACACAGCCACTCCCAGGAGCGTCTTTTGCAACATGTAATCCTCTGCAGCACACCAAAAAGTCTACTTCAATATCATCTAAATTTAATCCCTTTGTTTCGTGTTCATCTGTTCTCAAGTTCTCATTTTCCAGAGCAGATAGTCAGACTGACTAAATAATCTTCATGAATAAATTGATTTGTAAAAAGTTGATAATCGACTTGATGTGCTAACTTTCCAGTCATTATTATTTTCAAAAAAAGTTTTTATCTCTCTTAGAATTTGAAAAGACACGCTTTGGGGAAGGACTTTTTTCATACCTGTCTTGCAGAAGTTAAAATTTATAGCAAAATATTAAAACTTAAATTGTTAAACCTTCAAACAATTTTTTAAAACTGTACCATTACATTCTTAACTGCAAACCCACTATCACATCACACTTTGCTGCATAGTGAATTAGGCTGAAATGTTTCGCCTTGTACTGCAGACTGTAGTGTGTCTCATCTCTCACCAGTTTTTCAAGATGACACTAAGCTTACTAAACACTTATGATTCCTCCTTTCTTATATGTTTCCTACCTTTATGATTTTTGATTGTGGAAATTCCCTGACAGAAGTCCCTTCTTTTTATTCCATGGTCACATCTTCGCTGATATTATTTTTTATCATTTAGAGACAAAGTCCTGCACTGTTGGCCAGGCTAGAGTGCCATGGCATCAACCCTAGCTCACAGCACCTCAACTCTGGGCTCAAGGGGACCTCCTTGCCTCAGACCTCCCAAGAGTAGCTGGGATCATAAGGCAGCGCCCTGATGCGACTATTTTCCATATATATTATACTTTTTTTAGTTTGTCTGGCTATTTCTTTCTATTTTTAGCAGAGACGGAGGTCTCGTCTTCGCTCGGGCTTCTTGAACTCCTGACTTGAGTGTATCTCCACTTGGCCTCTCAGGGTGCTGAGATTTACGGGTTGAGCCAACGTGCCGGCCACATCTGTCCTGATTTACAATCTGCTCTTGATTCCTCCCCTCATAAGTATGTCCTTCTTCTGCGAACGCCATGCTTTGCCATGTTTTGCTTTTTCTTTCTTGGTCCTGTTTTATTACATCTTCCGTTCACGTTGAGAACAGGGAGTTTTTCTTCTATCTATTTTCTTTTGCAAAGCCTTTTTTTTTTTTTTCTGTTTCCCACCAACTTCGCTCAAGCAAGCTATTATGGTGCTTATGGAGTTGTCAGGGATATTGGTTTTTGATAATTCAATTGGATTTTATATTTTTAAAAGTTCTCTTACTTTTGTTTCTGTTGTGGTCCTTATTGCTCACTTTTCATGTGGTAGGTCTTTTCGTTCATTTAAGTAGCTGAATGCTTATGCCTCTGAGTGGGCTTGATTGTTTCCTTTTGCCTTGTACTATTAGGCCTGTAAGTTTGTACTACTTCTTAATGTTCCCTTATTGGCCCTTAGGCCGTTCCACAGCTGGCATTGTCCTCGATTCCCACCACTCCCTCGTGGAAGCCTCCTCTTCCTGTCTTTTCCCAATAATCTGGGTTTTCTCTAAGCTCTTAAATTTGTTCTTTTGTAACTCACCTACCGATGTCTCTGGTTTTTTGTCTCTTTAAGTTACACCTTTCATGTCTATTTTTTTTCATGCTTTCTTATTTGTACTGCATTATGTTTGTTTGGGTCGCAATTTAATTGTTTAAGTTTGGTTGGGCATATTGTTTCTTTTTTCTTTTTAGTAATGTTTCTAAAATTCTTATTTTGTGGAGTAGCGTTTAATGATTTATATTTTATTAAATAATATTTATATTTAATGTTTTGCATTGATTTAACCTATTTTGAGGTTACTTAATAATTATCACTTGCTATTTTTTTCTTTTTTTTTTTTCCTCTCTTAAAGTGGAAGTACCTGCACTTTAATTGTAACCAAATGCGTAAAGTCTAGAGTTTATGTAATGTAGAATTGCTTTTATAAGTTCTAGATGCGTTATGGTAAGTTTACTCTTAATGCAGTCATCCGCCTACTTAATTTTTAAGTCTAATTATAACCTCTGTCTTTTCTGGGGGATAACGATGAGGCCTAATTTTTTAGTTGTTTATTTTAGGAAGCAATGCTCATATATCACCTAAGTTACGCAAGCTCGTGTCCTAAGGTGTGGCTTAGTTATGGTCATTTTTTTTTCTTTTATTTGTTCGTTTTTTTTTTTTGACTCATTTTACAACGGAAAATAGTGCGCTTGATTTTGCTACACCTGGGACTCAAGTCTACTTTTATGAACTTTTATTGTTTCCCTTCTGAAGTAGAGCATGAAAGGTATTTCTTTTCTCGTTGTGGACCTTAAGAATAGAATGGCGTATCTATGGCTCTAAACCTATTTAAAAATGTTGATGTTTCTTTGATAGAATGACAAGGATTTTAAAATATTCTATATTGTGAATACTTAATTTATTTGCAACTGTATTTATTCGATCCATTTTAGTATGTTTATTTTAGCTACTTTTTATAGCATTCATGCGTTTATTTAGATTTCTAGGTTTCAAAAGTTAACCTGTTTTGGTTTAGAAGGATTTTATTGACCTGAGCGTCTTATTTTTCTTGGATGTTACTATCATCTTTGTTGCTTTATTTAGGTATTCGTTACAACTTAGGGTTTCAAAATTGGTTTTTGCGCAGTTTTATTTCTTTCTAGAAAAGTTTCTATTGATTACTGTTTGTGTGTCAGTTTGTTTGCTGATTTCCAAGAGGGGTAGTAGTGCATTTTTTTTTTTGTTTTTAAATGATATTAGTTTGAAAAGATGGCTGATTAACAGTGGGGGACGGCTTTATTTTCTTTTATGGTCCTCACATTTAATAATAGAATATACAGTATTAATTTTTTCACATATTTGTAGGGAGTATTAAAAGTAAGTTTTTCAGAAATGTGTCAATAGATTCTGCACGCGTTATTGGCCATTAGTTTCCAGAACAGATTGTATGTAATGTTGCTCTTACTTTCAATGTTTTGGGTTTTCACCTACATATTGTTACTTATCTTTGGTCATTGTGTTGAGTATCGGTATGTATATTGCTAACTTACTGAAGAGGGACCATATTATTTTTTTTTATTCCTGTCATGTCAAGGTCAAATGCGATCTGGTGTTAAAAGTAACTTTATGTACGTTGTTCCTTTCTTCGTGTTTATATGTGCGGGTTTTGGGAATTAATCATGGACTATCGATATTAAGCCGAGCCATTAGGGTATTGAGTTCATACGATTTTTATAATGGGACGTCGAAAAAAAAAGACCTTTGTAAATCTAGACGGCTGGTGGGAGAGCGGACAACTGTTCGTGGTTCCAGCCAGAGTTCTTTTTAAGTGTGTTGGGATTCAGAATCTGTAGCTGGGTTAATTTCCTTATTATGGTGTTGTTAGTAAATCAATATTTTGATTATCCTCATTTCAATAGGGCGGGTAATCATTAGAGTGTGTTGTTCATTTGATTGATACAGTTTCTTTTTGGTGTTTAGAGCTTTTTTTATTTCTTAATGTTTGGGGCTTTCTTTACTTAGTGTGTTTTAGAATAGTAAATTCAAGTTTTTATTATTTTAGTATACCAATTTGCACTAGATAAGATTATTGTCAATACTTAAAATACTGGTGTCAAGAGAATAAGATGTGTTCATAAGAAAGTTTTTAATCTCATTGTACCCTTTCTTTAGAACTGTAAAGTATTATTCTTAGAGATGTAAGTGGAAGTTATGAAAACTGGCATTATTCATTTATTCAGATGTTTAGACTTGTAGATGACTTTTCAAAGACTTTCGTTAAGCCACCTTATTTTATATTACTTCATAGAAAGTCTCTCTATTGTCATTATTGAAAGAATATGTCAGTCAGACTCTGTCAGATGGGGTAGGGATTATTGTAGACTCATATGGTATTAGCCACAGATATTTTCCAGTAAAAGGATACAGGGCATAATTATAGGGTAACATAGCATTGCACTTATCTATGACTTCAAGTGAAAATCATTTCTCACAAATGTAAATACTATAGTTAAGACTGATGTCAAACTAAATTCATAATTGTAACAATTATAACTAGATTTAATCCATGGATGTTGAAGGATGGTCATTAATGTGAAAATTTTTTTAAATTTAAAATGTCCTCTCAACATTTACTGTTAACAAGAAAAAAGCTTCATGTCTGAAAGGGAAATAAAAAATTTGGAAATGAATAAATTATTGGTGCTTATGAGTATATTAGTATATTAGTTTCATATGTATATATATTGTTTGTTTGTTTTGAGACAGAATCTCGCTCTGTTGCCCAGGCTAGAGTGCCGTGGCGTCAGCCTAGCTCATAGCAACCTCAAACTCCTGGGCTCAAGCCATCCTCCTGCCTCAGCCTCCCAATTAGCTGGGACTACAGGCGTGTGCCACCATGCCCAGCTAATTTTTTCTATATATTTTTAGTTGTCCAGCCAATTTCTTTCTATTTTTAGTAGAGATGAGGTCTCGTGCTTGCTCAGGCTGGTCTTGAACTCCTGAGCTCAAACGATCCTCCTGCCTCGGCCTCCCAGAGAGCTAGGATTACAGGTGTGAGCCACTGCGCTTGGCCAGATACTAATTTCTATAATGTGTCTTAGTAATTATCATAAAAGAACTCAGTGAAATAAGTCTGTCTGCTGTAAAGAAGTGAACTGTCCATTCAAAACAACTTAGTAGTGATGGCAGCTGGTAAGTTTTCAGATTTAAATTTGTAAGTAAACTTACAGACCCTTCACAGCTATAGGAAGAAACCCTCAGTAAATAAAACTTGTATTTGTTGTAGTCTTCACCATCTCTTCAACTTTAGGATCAAATTTAGGATCACTATTCCTTTTCGATTCTTCATACCTGCTATTTGACTTTTACAGCCATTTTCCTAAAGCTGGCTGGCTTTCTATTACAAACTTCTTCCTCTACAATCTCTTTAGATAACAGTATACATGAATATAATATCAATGCAATATGTAAAATGCAGTTTAATTAATTAATTTTTGCTTATTAAATAGCTTTCAGTTGAGGAAATCTTTGTCTACCGAGTTACGTTCACACTGGTTTTACCATTAATAGGTACCAGATTTCCCTATCCAACGTGGAATAAATGCTTTGAGAGGAAATTGAATGTGTCTGTAGTTCCCAGGCATGTTTCTTTCTTTTTTTTTCTTTTTTAAATTTTATACTTCTTTCCATTATATTTTTAATCTTTTTTTTTGTTTTTTACCCCCATCTGAAAGTTTTCTTAATCAGGCATGTTTCATTGCCAGGATATATTCAGCCAATAAAATGCTTATCCTTACTTTGTGGAGTGCTATGTGCTTTGGAAATGTTTCCATCTCAAACATTTAACTGGTGGCGATAAGACCATGGAAACTTTTAGTACTACTTCTCTCCACTCCCTTTCCCTCCTCTCAGCAGGACAGATCAGGCCCTCCTGCCAAATCTACAAGCTTACAAGGTCCCTACTGAACTAAAAGCATACTCATACCATACATAATACTTCCTTTGTTTACCCACCTATTCATTATGATGAACAAAAAGAATGAATTGAAAGAAAATACACAGAATACTTGTTTGGGAATCTAGCAATACATACAAATTTACAAATGCTGCTCATTCATTTAGCTACCACACGGTCAAGTTATACCTACGTTTATTTGTGCTTTAGATTCGTACTGGAAGTTTTCATATGTGTATTTGTCAGATCTTCTTTGGCGCATCTTAAATAGCCTGGCACCACGGTTACTGAGGTGAGATAATTCTTCCAACATGATGTCCCTGGGGATGCTGACCTTTTTGCCCAGGTCCATGCCATCCATATCTGCAAAACAATATTCATTTGCATGAAAACCCCAAGGTAAGCATTTTTAAATGCTTTTCTGAATTCCACAATGTATTGCTTGCTTTATGCTGTTTTGGTGACTGCCTTAAATTAAATCCTGCCTCCACCACTTTCTAACTGCACGATCATAGATATGTTACTTATTTTCTCTAAACCTCAATGACCTCATCTCTAAAGTGGGGCTAATAATACTATCTACTGCAAAGTGCTGATATGAGAATTAAAAAAAAATGCTTCATATTAATATAAAGCACTTAGCACAGCACCTGGCACAGAGAAAGAGTGAATAAAAGTTAGCTATCATTACTATTAGTATAGTACAATGAGTGAGTTTTCAAACAGCACTGCTTAGTCATATTGCCAAGCTCTGCTTTGTTCCCATATTTTTATGGATCAACTTGAGCTGTCCCCCTACTGAAATGTTTACTCTCCCATCGCACTCCATTTCCTAGTCTTGGTCAAAACGTTGGTGTTTGTGCACAGAGCAGCTTACATAAAGAAGGCAGATGATAAATATTGAATGAACACCTTTCCCAATCCAGCTCAAATGCCATTTCTGTGACTCACTTCCTTAAAAATCTCTCTTTATAGTTGTTCATATCTTCTGTATTCCTATAACACTGAATCACATATACTTGATTCTTTTTTGTTTCATGGTTTGCATTTTCTTTATATTTTAATCTTTGTGTCCCCATGATGTAAATATAGAAGATGTTCAGTAAATGAGTATTATTTTCTATTTCCAGTACCCAAAAAATTTTCCATCATCCTAAAGAGATGAAACTCCTCCACTTGTTGTCTTTCATTGGGAATATGTTTATATAATACCCAGAATTCATTTGCCACTGTGAACTGTTACATGCACAGGAAAGAAAAAATTAATGGGCCATTAAGAAAATAAATAATTATTTTGATCAATTAGGACAACATCCTTTGATGTGACTAAGTAACCATAATAATTAGAATTTTGAGAATGCTCAGGATATAATATCAGAATTACTTTTAAATTTTCTCTCCATTTTTCTTTGAAAATAATTAATTTGTTTATGTGGTTTGATATTACATAGAGAAGGGCTCCAGTAATAATAAAAATCATAATATCAAGATTTTTGCTGGCCAGGAACGGTAGCTCACTCCTGCAATCCTAGCTCTCTGGGAGGCCAAGGCAGGAGGATCACTTGAGTTCAGCAGTTCAAGACCAGCCTGAGCAAGAGTGAGACCCCATCTCTGCTGAAAATAGAAAACTTAGCCAGGCATTGTGGCTCACACCTGTAGTCCCAGTTACTTAGGAGGCTGAGGCAGGAGGATGGCTAGAGCCCAGGAGTTTGAGGTTGCTGTGAGCTAGGCTGACCCCACGGCACTTGCCCCAGGCAACAGAGTGAGACTGTGCCTCAAAAAAATTTAAAAAAAAATTTTTGCTTCTGGGAAGATGGAGTAGATGTATATTTCAACACACTTCTATTAAGTACAACTAAAAGTTCTGGACATTATGAATAAAACAAAAATAAAAAAAACTATGAAAAGTAGAAAGAAATAGGCAGACCAACTAGGAACCCTAGGAACCAAGGAATAACATGGTGGTAAATTCTCTGGGTTTTCTTTTGGCCTCATGTATGTCAGATGGGGAGCTGAAGATGCTGGCAACCCAGGAACATCGAGGGACACAGGCAAACAAAGCTCCAACAAAAGGCTCCCTCTAGCTAGAGGACCAGGAGGGGCGCAGCACAGCAAAGCAGAAACCACTTGGACAGCAGCCACTCTATTTTAGCCAAATACCACAGAAAACACTTTGGTGTCACCCCACCCATGTCAACAAACACCTTGTGAGGTGCCCAGAATTTCACCCTGTGGGGCTGTGGCAAGGTTTCCCAATACTCCCACTAGGGTGGTGTCAGAGAGGCCACGTAGGGAGTTGGGGCTATCATTCCCTTTGGCCAGTAACAAGCTCCTCCCTGCTGCGTTAGTGGATACTCTGTCGGAGGAGCCTGAACTCCTGTTTTCTCCCAGCAGTCACAAGGAGCCTCCCCTCAAGTTTCAGTGGGGGCCACATTGGGAACCCAGAGGTCTACGTGTACCTGGCAATAATGAGGTGGCAGCACTCTCCTCTCCCTGCTGGAGCAGTGTCAGACAAGGACAGATGAAACAGGAGGGTTAGCAAGAGCAAACATCTCAGAATGTAATATGAAAATGTACAGACTTAAAAAATCACTCATCATACAAAGAACTAGGAAGATATCAAACTGAATAAAAAGACAACTAGATGCCAACATTGGGATGACTGAGATATTATATAGTAAAGTTTTTAAAGCACTCATGATTTTTAAAAAAAATGCTTTCAACGGTAATCCTTAATTACTCTTGAAATTACTCATTTCAAAAAATGCTTTCAAGAGCAGTTTTTCAAAAAAATTAAAAGCTTTAGCAAAATACATAGAACATCTCAGCAGAGAAATAAAAGATGTGAAGAACCAAATGGAAACTTTGGAACAGAAAACAAAATAACCAGATTAAAAACCTCAACAGAAGGGCTCAATAGCAGAATGGAGGGGGCAAAGGAAAGAATCAGTGAACTGGGAGATAGAACAATAGAAATTACCTAGTAAGAGCAACAGAGAGAAAAACAGACTTGAAAAATAAATGAATAGAGTCTTCTTAGGGACATGTGGGACTATAACAAAGGAGATCCCATTGCATCATTGATGTCTCAGAAGGAGAGGAGAAAGAGGATGAAACTGGAAAACTACTCAAAGAAATAATGGCTGAAAACTTCCTGAATTTGATAAGAGATATAAACTTATAGGCTCAAGAAGCTGAGAGTACACTCAACAGAATAAACCCAAATAATTCCACGACAAGACTTATAATTAAGTTTCTGAAAACTAAAGACAGAGAAAAAATATTGAAAGCATCCAGAGAAAAACAACAACTTACCTATAGGGAGAAAACAATTAGAATGACAGCAACTTTCTCATCAGAAACCCTGAAGGCCAGAAGGAAGTGGCACAGTATTTTTCCAGGTGCTGAAAGAAAAGAATTGTTAACCCAGGATCCCATACCTGGTGACAATATCCTTCAGGAATACAGGGGACATTGAGACATTCTCTGATGAAGAAAAGCTAAGAGAATTTGTTGCCTGGAGATCAACCCTAACAGAATGACTAAATGAAATTCTTTGAACAGGAAGAAAACAGTAAAAGAAGAGACCTTGGAACATCAGTATAAAGAAGGAATATCGTAAACAAAAATACAGATTAAATTACAATAGGCTTCCCATCTTGTCTTAAGTTTTATAAATTATATTTGATTGTAGAAGCAAAAATTATAACACTGAATAATGTAAATGTATGTAGGAAAAACATTTAAGACAATTAAACAGGGAGGATATAGGGACATAAAAATAGATAAAGTTTCTATACTTCACTTGAATTAGTAAAATGACAATATCAGTAGACTGTGATAAGTTATGCATGTATAATGCAATACTTAGAGCAACTCCTAAAAGCTATACAAGCAGATACACTTAAAAAAACTAAAGATAAACCAAAACAAAACTAAAAAGAAATGTTCAAGTAATCCCAAAGGAAGGCAGGAAGAAGAAAACAAAAATGAAAAACAAAGATGACAAACAGAAAACTAAAAATAATTGACTTAGGTTCTAATACTTCAATAATTACATTAAATATAAATACTCTAAATATATCAATTAAAGGATAGCAATTAGCAGATTGGATTAAAATGAACCAGCTATGTAAGAAACTCACTTTAAATATTAATATAACATAACAGGCAGGTTGAAAGTAACAGGATGGAAAAAGATATAACAAGCAACATTTACTAAAGGAAAGCAGGAGTGGCTATGTTGATATCCGATAAGTAGACTTCAGAGCAAAGAAAATTACCAGAGACCCAGAGAAGGATATAAGGATTAAAGTGTCAGTCCATCAGGATGACCTAGAAATCCTAAATGTGTATGCACCAAAAATCAGAGCTACAAAATATGTGGAGCAAAAACCATAGAACTAAAATGAGAAATAGAAAAGTCCACAATTACAGTTGGAGACTTCAACATCTGTCTCTCAACAAGTAATAGAACAATGAGACAGAAAATCAGTAAGAATATAAAAGAATGCCATCAACCAATGGGATTTTATCAACATTTAAATTCTACTCAACAACAGAATGCACATTCCTTGAAGTGCCCATGGAATATATATCAAGAAATACCATATTTGGGATACAAAATAGATATTAACAAATTTCAAAGAATTAAATTTTGCAGGGTATTATCTCTGAACACAATGAAATCAAGCTAGAAACCACTAAAAGATAACAGGAAAATCTTCAAATACTTGCAAACTAAACAACACACTTTCTAAATAATCTATGGGACAAAAAGAAGTATCAAAGGAAATAAAAAATTAATTGAACTGAATGAAAATGGAAATACAGCATATCAAAATTTATGGGGCAAAGCTAATGCAGGCCTGAGAGGGACATTTCTAGTACTACTAAATGCATAATTTAAAAAGGGGGAAAGTCTCAAATCAATAAACTAAGTTTCAACTTCAAAAACTTAGAAGAGAAAAATAAATACAAAGCAAACAGAAGGAAGGATATAATAAATATAAGAGCAGAAATCAATGAAATTAAAAACAGAAAAACAATAGGAAAAAATCAAGCATGGAGCTGTTTCTTTAAAAGATCAACCTAACTGACAAATCTCTAGTAAGACTGACACAGAAAAAACAGAGAAGACACAAATTAACAACATTAGGAAAAAAATAGGGGATATCATTACAGACACTATAGATACCAAATAGATAATAAGAGAATACCATGAATAATTCTACATATAAATTCACATACATTTGGGAACTTAGAAAAAATTGACCATTCCTTGAAAAGCATAAAGTACCATAATTCACCTAACATGAAATAGATAACTTGATTAATCATGTAGCTATTCAGACAATTGAATT